TATCTACCTACTAAGTTTCATGTTGATATCTCTTATAGTTTTAGAGTTATGTCCCGGACAAATTTCAAAGTGTAAAATAAACAAAGGGAGATAATTCACAAATTAGGCAAGGCAGAGTTACGGTTTTTGTACACTGCACACCTACTCAATGAGATCTATCTACCTACAAAGTTTCATGTTGATACCTCTTATACTTTTAGAGTTATGTCCTAGACAAAGTTCAAAGTGTAAAATAAACAAAGGGGGATAATTCAAAAACTAGGCAAGGCAGAGTTACGATTCTTGTACACTGCATACCTACTCAATGAGATCTATCTACCAACAAAGTTTCATGTTGATACCTCTTATACTTTTAGAGTTATGTCCCGGACAAAGTTCAAAGTGTAAAAATAAACAAAGGGGAATAATTCAAAAATTAGGCAAGGCAGAGTTACGGTTCTTGTGCACTGCGCACCTACTCAATGAGATCCATCTACCTACAAAGTTTCATGTTGATACCTCTTGTTGTTTCAAAGTTATGTCCCGGACAAGAAAAGGGAACGGACGGACGGAAAGACGGACGGACGTTCTCAAAGGACAGTAATTATGTGGCTACTCTATTGTTCTCTCTATTGTTCGTTTTAGCCACACAAAAGAAAATAGCCACATAAAAGCATTACGGAATGAATGATATCAAAGAGAAAGAACAGTTACCTATTGTCCCTCTAGCCACATATTTACTCTCCTGTGAGTGCGGACGGACGGACGGACGAACGGACAAGGCGGCGACTATATGCTCCCCGAAATCTTTCGGGGAGCATAAAAAAATGGAGACATCTAACAGTTACTTGCAAACATTTCTGGATTTATCGAACGATCATCTGACAAATACAATTGAAAATCCCCGCTTCCTAGAAAAAAACAACCCATTTCCTTTTCTGAAATAATTTTCTTCCTTTGCCAAGAAACCTGTTTATTGCCAATAAAAATGTCATTAATATAGATTGTAAAGTATATGTAAGAATAAATTCAGTAATTCGACATCATGTGTTTTGAACATTCTATTTGGGTAGCGCTATAACACATGAAATATATTATCTCAATAATTGCTAAGGGATAACAAATAGACAGAAAAGAAAATAATGATATCTACAATCATTAAATTCAAATGAGTATTGTAACACCAAATGTTACCTTACATTACAAAGAATATTCACAGAACAGAATTTGCCAGCCTGTGATTTTTATCTCGTCAGTTTCTGGGGACAAATCTGATTGATAACATGTTTCATACATGCTGTTTCACCTTCCAAAGCACTTTTATATATACAGCAGTAAGGTATATTAAATATGTACGATAAATATCACGAATCAAACACATTTGAAAGGTATCTGCAAGATGTTTCACGTTCTGATATAGCAAAATAGAAATTCATTTGTTGCTAACATGCGTCTTTTAGATAATCCCCCACGTAGTTCAATAGGGATATAATTTAATTAATTAGTAATGTTGGAGTTGCTAGTTTGATCCTTGGAAGAAGTTATTTCTCCATGGCAACTGATCTTGGACATTGAGTCATTGGTCATTTGTCTCTCATCGATACTCGAAATTATATTTGATTAGTCTCAATAGTTTAAAATGACATTTTCTGGAAAGTTATCCGGGAAAGCATGTTAGGTTGATCAAACGCTGAATTATAACAACATATGTAAGATTGGCGTAAAGACCAACCAACTAGCAAGCATGTCAGCAAGACAACCAGCAGGGCAGGTAACCAACCAACCAATCAACCAACCAACCAACCAACACACCAACCAAACAAACAGACATATTACATATGCGAATGTTCGTAAGTATAGTTATAACAGAAAAGTTATAACGGCAGCATAAAGTCGAAAAAATCCGTCATGTGCTATTCGCCATATTATAGTTTCGCTTTTTTATTTCGTGTTTTCGCACTGTTGCATACCAGACACTACAGAATGTAAAACTCCGTTAAACGCAAATCCCACGCTTCAAAGTATAAAATAAATGTGATTATGAAAATTTGTTTGTTTCGGCTTGATTAAACTCGTATGTTGATAAAATGGTTATATCATGATAACTTTCATTCTTTACAAACTTTTGTTTTACTGTCCCTTTGTTTCTTGAAACATAATGAAGATAAAAGCTTATGAAAGCTGCGATTACATATGCTGATAGTGTTTTCTTTCATATAAATGGCTGGAATGTGTATCTACAAAATCAACATTTAAGGAAAAATTTCTCAATTCCAAATGTTTACTATTATTACAAAGAGTTTTCACTGAACAGAGTTTGTGAGACTTAGATTTTCATTTTGTCCGTACTTGAAGACAAATCTGACTGATAAATGACATGTTCATATATGTATAACAAAAGGAACAGACACGGTTTTACACTTTCCATACATACAATAATCTTTACAATCCTGACACGTTATATTACATCATACTATAAATACCACGTATCAAACATACATCAAAGGTATCTGCAAAATGTTGCTCGTTTTATTTATTTATGGAAAAAATTCAATTTTTTTATTCATGTTATTTTATTTTCCATCCCCCATAGCCAAAAAAAAGCAATCGAATTTAATTTTTGTAAATTAGGGGACGGCTTTAAAACCTCTCGAACAGTTACCCCAAAGGCAATTTAATCTTGGGCATTGAAACTTATGGCCATTTTTTCTCCCGCTGGTTAAAAAAACCCAAATTTTTTAAAAAAATGAGTCGCTTGAGGCGAACTCAGTTTTTTTATGAGTTATTAGTTGATTTCCAAGATTATTAGTTGATTTCCAACCTTCCTGATGTTTTGACTTCAACTCCGTTTCAACAACAACAACAACATAAACAGCAGCAGCAACAACAACAACTACAAACAACAACAGCAGAAGCAGCAACAACAACAAAAACAATATCATTATTTTGGCATGAAATTGTATACAATGGTAGATAAATACTTTTTTTATCCAATATTGAAGAGCATAACAGATTAATAAAACTGAACATTGAAAGAGCATGGTGTGTGTACAATTAAGTATCAAACGTAATTTCAAAACAATTACATCTCTTACACAATCAGTTCAATTGAACCATATACTGTATAAACACAGGTATCGGCATTATTAGAAATAAAGATTAGGTTTGGTTGACACTAAATTTATATAACTTAACTACAATATGTTAGAATGACATTACATTTATAAACATACTTAATTAAGGTGTTGTTTTACCCGATATATTGGAATAAACTTAGTCAAGTCAACAACTCTCTGCATTACATCACTATTTGTTTACATTTAACGTTTCTAAGCGTACGTTAGACCGAAATACAGTATCCGTTCTTTATCCGAAGACTGACGGAAACGTTTGATTAATATCACAAAACAACACATAATGTCATCTGGTTAAGCAGGTAACCTCACGTTTAAACAATAATTTCACAGTTACCAATTGAAAATGCACGTCACTCAAGATGACTTGATATGATTGAAGATATATAATGGGATATGTTTGGTTGACAAGCATTCAGAACATAATGCTCAAAATGCTACATGGCGACTGTAACGTGTCATTTCTAAGCTTTCTTACTTTGAATTTTTGCAATACTTCATCTGTTTAGGTGGAAGGTTTTAGGAAACACTATGCGCAAAAATACATACCTGTTGTTACTTGGATAATCTTATAGGGATTTTACATATAAGAATGTACAGAATATATAGGTAAAAAATCCAAAGGCTCCTTATTTTAGGGTTGTTTCTGCTAGTACTGGTGTTCAAAAGCTGTAGTCTATATATTCATTTACAGATTGTACAAGTCTTGCGGTGTCCACAAAATAAAGCCTTGGATGCAATAGATGAAATAAATGAAATATAGGAATGAAATCGGTTGTATTGGACAGTATATGTGGTCAGCTCTATAGTATCAAATAAGATGAATTATCTCCGTGTATAATCACTTATTGCTGAGGGATAACAAATTGAAAAGAACGAATGCAAATAATTATATCTACAATCATTATTATTAAATTATCTCCTCACATAATCACTTATTGCTGCGGAATAACAAATAGACAAGACAACAAATAATGATATCTACAATCATTAAAGTCCAATGAGTATTGTTACAACAAATGTCACCTTACATTATAAAGAGTATTTAACATAACAAAATTTGCAAACTGAGATTTTCATCTTGTCAGTCAGGGACAAATCTGATTGATAAATAACATGTTTAATACATACACAATGAGTACCAACAAGCTGTTTCACCTTTCAAAGCACTTTTAGAAATACAGCAGTAAGATATATCAAATCTGGGCGATAAATATTACGAATAATACACATTTGAAATGAATCTGCAAGATGTTTCCCATTCTAATATATCAAAATAGAAAATTCATTGTTGTTGACAAGTTTATATTTCACATAACCGCCCACGTAGCTCAATAGGGAGAGAACCGGATTTATTAGAAATGCAGGGTGGCTAGTTCGATCCTTTGAAGCGGAAGGTATCTGCAAGATTTTTTCCGTTTTGAATTATCACAATGGACAAATCCATTCCTTGAAAACATGCGTACTTTTCCCGTGTTGGACTTTCTTTAGGGGTTTCGTTCTTCTCTAAACACAACCAACCAACCAACCAACTCACCAACTAACAAACCAACAAACCAACCAACCAACCGAACAAACAAAAAACATATTAACCATGCAACTGTCCGTTAGTATAGCTATAACAGAAAAATCATTGCAGCATTTAGTAAAAAAAATTCCGACAAGCGCTATTCGCCATGTTTCCCAAGCTTCAAAATATAGAATAAATTTAATTATGAAAACGTGTTTATAGCGGTTTGCTTTGATTCAATATGATGCTAAGAAAGTGATAACATTCATTCTTTACAAACTGTTGTTTCATTGTCCCTTTGTTTCTTGAAACATAATGAAGATAAAAGCCTTATGAAAGCTGCGATTACATATGCTGATAGTGTTTCCTTTCCTATAAATAGCTGGAAAGTGTATATTCAAAATCAACATTTTAGGAAATATTTCCTAATTACAACGAAGGAAGCAAAGTAATAAGGTATGTACATTTATGTATTTATTTATTTATTGTTTGCATATTACTTGTTTTTAAATATGATTCTTCAAGTTTGGACAGATCACTTTTAAACTGAACTTACTTTTTTACAAAATTATTTCTAAATCTTACTTTAATAAATAGGACTTTGGTAAAGAGCAAATATGAGTTTCAAAATGTTGAAGCAATAGATGTAAAACTTTTAAGATGTTTGACACCTGAAGAAGCGATGAATGAAAAATGTGTGATAAAGGTGGTTAAACGATAACGAAATAGTATCTTTACTTCCATACAAAATACTCAATCAGTATAATAATTATTGTTCTTATTGCAAAATGTCAAAAATGAATAAATAAATAAATAAATAAATAATAAAAAAATAATAAAAAAGAAAAAAAGAACCTTTGAAAAAAACTGTAACAGAGTATTAAAAAAGAGATTTTGAAAAACATTCGCAATTTTATGCTTAATTGGTCTTTACCAAATGGTATGTGAGGTTAAAAAGCTATATACGAATATGATATACTATCATATTAATTCATGGACGATAAAATGTATTAAACATTACGCGCGTGTTTCGGTTTTGTTCGTACATCGTGTAATGATGTAAACATGTAAAGTTTGAAACTAATAGTATGTCTTGAAGTGAAAATATAGATACATATTAGATTTAGATATTAAGGACCTACCAGTGTTTTAATCAGATTTTCTATAGAATTTCCCATCCCTTTTTATATATAGGCATGTGCTATTTGAAAAAGATGGACGCCATTGTTATAATTGATAAATTTTCAAGTTTCTTTAATGACAGTAATGCTTTAAGCATTTCAACTAAAAGATGAACTATTTTTGCCTTTTTATCCTTTGGAAGTTTATGAAATAATAGTGATTTCCTTTTATTTGCATGAAAGTCAAAATATTACTTTATTTACAAGTTGCTACATTAACACAGTTAATACAATTTAGCGTTACTTCTTTCAGCTGTTTAACATCTAACATACATGCTGTAAAGCCATTATTAAAACATTATTTTAACACATGTTTGATGTTTCAAAAAAAGGTAAAAATGTAGAATTGTAAGGTATAATTTACCTTCAATGCTAATATCTTAACGAATTTGTGCTTATATCAAGTTAACTTTTCTATGAGAGCATACACATCCTCTAATATTCCAGTGCATCATAATATTGGTAACGGACCAAACTCCTAATGTCTGAACAGTTATTCCGCTGAAATACACGTTTTACCAATCTCTTCTACAATATGTTAACTGTAAATCATTTTTATATATTTATCAATTTTAGATCAGGTTTGGAATAATGATGCGCCTAGTTTTACTCAGTGTTATCTCAGTCTTTTTATTGGTGGATTACGCTAAAGCTGGTACGTATTATCGGTAATAACTTAGTGAAAATTGTTTTGCATAATAATTGGCATAATAAGCATAATTTTTTGCATTCATAAATAAGATGAATTAAACGCTTTAAATGATATAAAATAAGACAAGAATTGTCTCATATAAATTTTTTTCAGACATGCAAAGTCTGTAATTTTTAATGAAATTACAATTTGTTTTTGATTTTTCCGGAATAATCACCACTTTTCAGAACTGATATGTTACCGCTGGACTGAAGAAGACATCAAAACGATGGGACCAAGTCGTACCATAGAGACTGAAAGAAATCATTGCGAAGGTGTCTTAGGTCATACATATACAGAAACTTTTGTTGAATGTGGGGAATGCTCGTGTTGTCAACAAGGTATATTGACCTCTAATATGTTTTCAGATTCATCATCTTTTCATTCTTCAGCTTGTGCCAAGTAACTAACTCTAAATTCAACTGTTGTAAATTACCATATTTTTTTTTCATCAAATAATCACCTAAGTTCAGTACCAGGTTACTCACTTTGCACCACATTATCTTATTACCACTCAATAATCTGCATGACGCGCGTTATGGATTGTTTATTTAATATCAAATATAAATGGATCAAACATGTCAGTTTATTTTGAATGGAATGATTTTTCCTTTAAAGTTTTAGTATGTCACGATTGGACTGAAGAAGACGACAAGGCAATGGGATCAAGTCGCTCAAACGAGGATGAAAAAAAATATTGTGAAAGTGTCTTAGGCTATACGTGGACACAAGGGGATAATGCAAAATATCCAGAATGTGGGTTATGCTATTGTTGTAAACCAAAAAGGTATTTTCTCATTTTTTTCTTCATTGATATACTTTTTAATATGCATGTAGGATTTTCCTTTTGTACCTCTCTTCCGCAAGGAACATAGATGTACATTTTATAATAGTTTCGCATCAGATATACATGTAGCATTTAACTTTTTTTCGAAAAGATAATGTGTATTTTTTCTTTTTTTTTCGGTAAATGATTTTTTTAACTAAAATAATTTGAGTTATCAACAATTTAGAAATGTGTCCTTATATTTCAGATATCGTTTAATAAGGTATCGTTCAATAAATTGTCCAACTGTTGTTTTTTTTCAGTTAAGGTGCAAATATGGTTACTTCAAGCAAAGAGCAAACTCTTTTCTGGACTAAATAGGTGATTGATTTCATTTAAGTGTAAATCATAACTCTTTAATAAATAATAAGAATTTATTTGCTCAGTTTGAACATCTTTTTTTGTACATGACATTATTGATTATTTTCGGGCTACAATTGAAACAATGAAAGTATTCGATGAATGAGGTTATTTTACACAACTGTTGACCCTTACTGTGCTAAATACCAGCGTCCTTTTTCAGCAGTATAGAGCCAGGCAAGCTTGAATATCATGCGCGAAGTATGATCGGCATTCACCAATGTTATTACAAGTATCTTTTTTTAAATAAATTAATAAATATTAGCAACATACCCCTTCCAACCATGACCATGCAAATTAAATGGAATACTAACAAACCCTGATAAGAGAAACAAAACAAATTCTTCTTCAAAGCGCGAACAATCTCAACCAGATTAGAAACACGGGTAATTTAAGTCTGATTACCGCATATAATGAAATCCTACACATTTACCTTTCCAAACCCTCACAAACTTATTACTCTTTAGCAGCATGTTGCACGAAAACAAAACTGAATTGGTTATCTAAAGCGTAAAGACAAACTAACTGAGGCATACTTATAAAATATCATAAATATTATAATGCTAAAACATCAATATTACGAGTCAACACAGAACGGTAAAGTTGAAAAAAGTTGCAGGTCTGATTTATCCATTAACAAGAGAAATTTATTTAAGTTACCGTCGACGCACACCAGCGCCGAATTAAACAAGAGTCAATATTGTGACACGACCGTTTAAACGAAATCTGTTCTTCTTATCGACAAGTAACTCTTGAAAGAATTTTTCTCAATATTTATATCAGACATATAAGTTTTTATCAATAAGATTTATCCCCCAAAACGGACAAGATGAAAATCTCAGTCTTTCAATTTTTGTTGTGTAAATACTTATTGTAATGTAAGGTGACATTTGGTGAAACAATACTAATTGGGCTGAAATGATTGTAGATATCATTATTTGTGTTCTTTTCTACTTGTTATCCTTGGCTATCATTGAGATAATTTATTTGATTAAGTTATAGCGTTGCCCACATAGACTGTTCAAACCAAGTGATGTGAACTTTCTATATTCATTCTAACATCACCATCTACATAAATGGCATTTATTGGCTTTGGCATAGAAAAGAGAATGGTTGTTTTCAAGGGAGCGGGAATTTTTCAACTGCATTAGTTACACGATCCGTCATTAAATCAGGAAATGTTTGCAAGTAACCGTTAGATGTCTTACAGTTTGTTAAAGTATAGAAGTGACATTGATATATACTATTCAGGTGCTTTTCAAGTGTGTAAAGCTATATCTGATGAAATATTTAATAAAAATATAAAAAATGATAACGTTATGATATTTTAATAACCATATGGCCGTTCATTTTGATCACAAAATAAATAATATTTGGTCAATCCACGGGACAGCATATATATTTAGGTTTTAATTGGATACACTTTTGTAAGTTTCGTCTTGAGTTATTAAAAAAATTCAAGAAAAACATCTTATCATTTTGCACCACTTTTGCTTTCGAACTGAAATTTAAAGCATATCAATCATAAATCATTCATAATTATAAGTAAACTATGAAGATCATATGTTTATTTTATAATTTAAATCTAAATGCTGGCAGAAGCAAGCACTTATTAGATTAGATAAGTCAAAGAATAACTCAACTTAGGCTCAAGGGAAACAGTTCTTTATTACATGATATTACATATCAAAATCCTAATTTCACAAAGAATTTGTCTGACAGAAATCTGGAAAAATAAAGACAGCATTGATAGCAATGTAAACAAAAGCAAACGGGTGAGAAACGCAGATTTGGTTTAATTCAGCGCATTCTCGAAAGCTGCAACATATCACAGGCCCTGTAGCACTGGCTTAATATAATTGACAGTCAAATGACCATAAGACTCAATGTCCAAGATCAATTGCCATGGTGACATTGTCCATCTTCAAAGGATCGAACTAGCAACCCTTGCATTACTTATTTATTTCGATTCTCTCCCTATTGAGCTAAGTGGATGGAGATGTAAAATACGCATGTTTACAACGACTATATAATTTTCTTTTGTGATATTATCAGAACGGGAAGCATCTTGCAGATACATTTCAAGTGTGTATGATTCGTGATATTTATTGCACAGATTTGTTATATCGTTCTGTTGTATATATAAAAGTGCTTTGGAAGGTAAAACAGCTTATTGGTAATATTTGTGTGTATATATGAAACAAGCTGTTCATCAATCAGATTTGTCCCCAAAACCTGACAAAATGACAATCTCGGTTATGCAAATTTTGTTGTGTCTATACCTTTTGTAATGTAAGGTGACATTTGGAGTAAAATACTCAGTTGGGCTGTAAATAATTGAAGATTTCATTATTTGCAATCTTTTTTTATTTGATAGCTTTGAACATGAAACAATGTATACAGTGGTAAATAGATACATTTTTATTTCTCCAGTATTGAGAAGCATTAACATATTCATAAAACTGAACATTCAAACGCAATGCACATGTAACAAAACACATTTTCAACAATTTATTTGTTACACAGTCTATTCCATTAAAACAAATGTCATATAGAGATTTGTTTATATCTACATTTATCTCATTAATTATACAGTATTAACACGTGTATAGACGTTATTTAGAAAAACAGATAGGTTATGATGACATAATAATAATTTAACTTACTAATAATAAGTTAGCATATAACATTAAGTTTATATAACTTAACAACAATAATAGGTTTAGATGACATTAAGGTTATATATCGAAATAAATGAAACAAACATTTTACTCGAAACGAAAAAGCAAAATGTTGACTAAGTGCTTTGTGTATTTGAATGTTCATCAAAATGTAAAATCAAATAGAGAAAAACAGAATCCTTAAAGAAAGTCCAACACGGCAAAATTGTAAAATGTTGCAGGCTCGGTTTGACTGAGCCTGATCATGGACGGTACTGGAAAGTGCAAGTTACCGTCCACGTCCCCGAGCACCGGCTTAAGCAGAATTCAACATCAAAACACGAAAATGGCGAAATTTTGAATTTAGAAACCTCTGCAGATGTGTTCATACGGCGGTTATCATGGAACCTTCAATGTGACACAGTCGTGTCATTCCATGAAAAGCGGAGTATGGTCCGTAAGTAAAAGAATGCGTGTGCCCTAAACGAGAAAACAATGGGCGGAACTAAATAAGATGGAATTTTGACAGGGGATCAGAGGTTATGAAGCCTGCATATCACAGACAAGACGGGGATCAGAGGTTATGAAGCCTGCATATCACAGACAAGACGTCAAAAGACAAATTGAAAAAGCAGGCAACATATCCTTAGGGTGATTATACAGTATTCAGAAAGGAATACTGGAACCACCCAAATACTGGAACCATCAAGTTGTCTACTCCAGGAAAATAATTAACAGTAAATTGATACTTATTAAGAAAAGATGACATTTAATGTTACAATTCTAACAGACTGCACAATATTTAAGATGAAGAAGAAAATAAAGAATATAAGAAAATATTATAAAATAGAAAATTAAAATTGATAAAATAAATAAATACATGAAATAAATAAAAATAGAAAAAATAAATAAATACAATGATAAATGATAGCATTAATGAGACATAGGATAATACTATTGTAAAAAACGTTAAGTAAAAACTTCATAATAATACATGGAAGTCAAAGTAATTGAAGGCGGAATAAGGGCATGAAATACTGAAAGGCACCTTTAAAACGAAAAATTTAAAATAAAAGTGAACAAAAACTTTTATCTGACTTTCCCGTTCATAGGCTTTGCCCCTAGTTTTTATTTATTTAATTTATCCCCTCCCCCCTTCCCCGGGTCTCATGTCCCCTTCCCCTTAGCCCTTTGACTTTATGGGCCTATTATTCAATCATTTTTTTGTTTGTTTTCTTTTAGTTTCTTATCAGTTACTAATTATTTATTCTTATGTATGATTTTAGTGGTAATCCTGTCCATGCTCTGCCTTGTGCCCTGTCCTGTTTTTTATTTGGGTCCTCCTGGGCTCTTTGCCACCGGCTCTTGTTACTGGGTCGGGTGGGGTTGCGTTCATTGAACGCCGCGTTTCCTTGTTGATCTTGTTTATCATATTTTTTGCCTAATTTCATAATTTTTATATACAATTATATGTAATTGAATAACTTGTATAAGCATTTTGTAATACTATAATTGTGCAATATCTCCCATTATTACCAGAGGCAAATTGAACGGTGCTCTAGCACTGACTTTTTATTGATGTTGTATTAAGGGTTATTTTTATTGCATTCGATAATTTAATTATTAAAGAAGTCAATCTACAGATATAATTGTTTAAATATTTATTTCTCAGTTCTGTGTGTTTTGGACAAACCAAAAGGTGTCGATCATTCGCACATAATAAGTCATTTTCACGTTTGTGTTTTGGTAAAAACTTTTATCTGGCATGATTATTCACATTTTTCTCGTTAGATCTTCCATTTTGTTAATGTAGTATAGAAATGACATTATATAAATAACACATGGGTTTGTGGGTAACAGTAAAAATATCATCCCGAGGAAAATACTGTTACCCGAAGCGTAGCCGAGGGTAACAGTATTTTTACGAGGGATGATATTTTTACTGTTACCCACAAACCCATGTGTTATTTATTTTATTACCCCGAACAAATACTGTGATGATCTGAATTTGGCAACTAAATCTAACTGTAACAAAAATAAGCCAAGAGAAGCAATAACTAAACTGTCCTTACCTTGCAAGTTTTAAGTGCACTGTAGGCCTACTTGAGAAGCTGTTTTTCTTTTATTCTTTAAGCAAGTGATGATATCTACCAGTCATAAACATAAAATAAGCTGTGTTTTAGTCAGAAAGCAAAACACTAACCAATTTATAAGGTTATGATCTGTGAAATCTGATTCTTCTGCATCCAGAATATTCTTCGCATGGTTTTTGACAAAGTGCATTTAGAAAATAACGATGATATCCTACAGATGTATGTCCACAAACTCTTTCTGTAACGTTTCACTGGTTAAAATTG